TATGGGTAATTTGGCAAGGAAAAACAGAAAGCAAAAGTAGATTGCGTTATCAAGAATTTGGAAAATCAAGAATAGCACTATAGAAAGTATGTTTGTCCCACCCAAGGATGAAAGGGAAAGTACCATTTAGAGTAGTGGGGAATTTGAGCTCCCAAGGAGTGTGTGATATTTGGTGTATGTAGAGAGGACCTTTTGTACATAGGTGGCTTTTGAGAGTTCGTTGTTTTTCACTTTTCCTTTATTTTTGTAATTAGACCTTATTTCCTACATTAATACAGCGGGTGGGGTACCTGCTCAAACCCTTAGCTAACTTAGCAAAAACATTTAAAGAGCCTAATTGGCAAGACCTTTTCTGAAGTTCTCTCCTTGTTCTAAAATTGAGAAAAAAACTATTTAAATTTATGATATGTACCATATAATGTTGTATAATCACACACACACACACTAAAAAATTTAAGAAATGCTCGCCAAAGGGGTTCAAACCTCTGAACTCATTGAAAAGCAAGGAGCTCACTAGCCAACAAAGCCATTTAAGCATTGTTGAGTGGTTAATATATGTTTATATAAGTGTACCTCTAACTCAGTTCGAGAACTAGCACGGTCTTGTGTGATTCTTTGGATCAATAATTTTTTAATCAGTATAATAAATAAGCTCATCGAGAAAAATAAAGGAAGACTAGCATAATGGGGTCTTTTTCATCATTATTATCATCAATTTCGAGCCTTATCCCAATTATTTGGGTCTACATGAATCTTGTTATGCGAATTCATTCTATCAATGGCCGTACTCTCAATCAGATCATAAGTCACCATATTTTTTTCTCGCTACTTCTATCCACATGTCCTTTGGAGCCATCTCTTTTCCCTTTTAGAGCTTTCCACTTGAACCAAATCACCCATCTTAACTGGTATTGTTATATGTCGACGCTGCACTTGACCTGACCACTTAAGTCTACTTTCCTTCATTTCATCGCCTATTAGAGCTACCTTAAGTTTACCTTGAATGTATTCATTCCGAATTCTATCCTTCATTGTCTTGCCACCCATCTATCGCAACATCTTCATCTCAGCTAGACTCATTCTAGGGATACATTGTTTATTGACTGCTCAACATTCCATCCCATAAAGCATTTTTGGTCTTACAGCCGTCCTATAGAACTTTCGTTTTAGTTTCATTAGTTTGAGACGATTACGTAAGAATCAAAAAGCTCATCTCTACTTCGTCCACTCAGCTCTAATTCTATGAGCAATATCTTCCTCAATCTCTCCTTTCTTAGTGATTATTGACAATCAAGAATGATCTCTTTTAGATACTTATGGGTCATCAATCTTAACCAGTGTTCACAAAATCGAACCGGAACGGTTAATCGGACATGGGCCTGGAAGCGGTTTAACCGGCCTAACCTGTAAACCGGTCGATTCAATTGCTCTAACCGGGCAAGTCTCGGGCGGTCAAAAAAGTGTTGGAAAAAAAAAACAAAAATACAAAAAAAAATCTGCTAAAATATGAAAAGCATATAAAGAATGATTAAAACAAAACACATTGAAATGAAGTTGAAAATTAATGAAAAAAATGGATTTTAACCCATTTTATATTTTCAAGAGATGTTTTTAAATTTTCTAAAAAAGATGGGAAAATATAAAAGTAAGTATTAATGACGAAAACAATTTTTAATTTTTATCATAATGTAAAGAATATTTAAAATGCATTACAAATCAAATTCCTTATTTTTAAGAATTTATATACATTTTTTTTTTTTAAATACCGGTTGATCACCCTAACTGCCCAAAACCGGAACCGGCCACTAGCCGGTTCCGATCTAATCGGGTGGTTAGCGGTTAGATCGGGCGATTTTGCGAACAATGATATTAACAAATTCTTCATTTCTGTTTATATTATTATTAAACTTGCATACCATATCTTCTATCTTAGTCTGGCCTTTAAACTCTTAAGCATCCCTCCAAAGTTCTGTCATTGTAATTGCACCATCTCTAGTCTCATTAATTATAACTGTCATCTGCAGACCTATAGATGCGTTTACTCCTATTAATAATGTAGTTTTTTTATGAGAGAAAAATGCAATGAGGACATGCGTCCCGTTTATGTTGTTTTTGTAAAGGCTTTGCTCTAAAACGCATGTATGATATTTGCCGAATTTTTTCTCCTAAAAAATCCAGTTTATAGGTCTTCTTCATTGAGATTGTTCACTCCAGGTTAAAGAGAGTGCATGTTTAACAATCTACAATCAAAATCAATCAAAGCCGTGGAGCTACTTTTTTTACAAGTTTTTGCATGTGAGCTACTATTGTAGAAATATATATATATATATATATATATATATAAATGGGAATGATTTCATGTCATAGCGCCATTGTAATATAATGAAATCACACTTTAAAAAAAAACTATGTTTGTGGCATTTGTATGACCCCAATTTTTGCACACACTCTTCATTCCAATAATCAATCTTCAAAAAAATAAATTTTAATTTGCATCTTT